GTGTGTGTGTGTGTGTGTGTGTGTGTGTGTGTGTGTGTGTGTGTGTGTAGGGAGGAAGTTCCTAATTGACTGGCTGTTAAAGCTTTTAATGAAGAGCAGGCCGCCTGCGCTCCAATTTACAGAGCAACGGTCATCAGGATGAAAAGAGACCAGAGAAGGAGGAGGAGGAGGCTTCAGTGTTTAGGAAATGTCAAAATAGAGTTCAGTTTACAGCTAACAATGCAATCTGAGAGCTGAAATGGTGAATTATTACCTGAAAATCAACAGAACAGAAGCTAAAAGCCAATAGAAGCAAATGTTTCAATGAGCTAAAATTGGCTAATTTGCAGCTAAAACCTGAAATTAGCTAAAGTAATGAAATTGTAGCTAAAACTAGTAAAACCATAGCCAAATGTTGCAAAACCATAGCTGAATCTGGTAAAATAGTAGCTAAAAGTTGCAAAACCATAGCTGAATGTAGTTAAATAGTAGCTAAAAGTAACTAAATTGTCACTAAAAGGAGCAAAACCATAGCTGAATCTGGTAAAATAGTAGCTAAAAGTTGCAAAACCATAGCTGAGTGTAGTTAAATAGTAGTTAAAAGTAGCTAAATTGTTGCCAAAAGAAGCATAACCATAGCTGAATGTAGTTAAATAGTAACTAAAAGTGGCAAATGTTTCTAAAAGTAGCTACATTGTTGCTAAAAGCATAACCGTAGCTGAACTTAGATAAATAATTGACATAAGTATCTAAATTATTTCTAAAAGTAGCTCAATTGTTTCTAAAATAGCTAAATTGTCGCTAAAACATGCATAACTGTAGCTGAATCTAGTTAGTAGCTAAAAGTAGCTAAATTGTTTCTAAAAGTAGCTAAATTGTCGCTAAAAGGAGCAAAACCATAGCTGAATCTAGTTAAATAGTAGCGAAAAGTAGCTAAATTGTCGCTAAAAGGAGCATTACCATAACTTAACTGAATAGTAGCTAAAAGTATCAAAATTTTGGCTAATTTTACAAGTAATTTTGGGAAAGCCTTGTTCAAATCTGTCCAGTAGTTTGAGATATTTTGCTAACAGACAGGAGAAGCTAACGTTTGTCTTTCAGCTGCAGGTGATAAAAACTTGAAAGTTAATCATGATTGCTCAGACGTTGGAGAATAAATTTGCACCAGGTTTTAAACCAAACCTTCATTATTTTAGACATTTAAGTTAAATTTTTGAAGGGAAATGAAAAGAGAAGAAACTTCAGAGCTCCTCGTTGTTTTTCTCAGGTTTTTAACGATGTTTAACGCAGCAGTTTCAATCCTTTGTTCTGAAAATCCTGCAGAAGTTCAGCTGAAGATGTTTTCTTTTCAGATCTGAAAGGTTTTCATCTGTAACTATCTGTTTTGAACTGAACCCATCAACACTGAGCAGAACAACGAGCTGCTGTTCGGCTGATTGTGAGGAAATAAAGAGAATGATTGACAGCTGCAGCAGGAGCTGAAGGCAACAACAGTTTGACTTCATCAGGTCGGCTTAAAGAAAAATGATCCAATTAAATGAAGCAAACAGAGCTGCTTCACCTGCTCAGTCTTTGAACCATTCCTCTCAGTAAAGATGTGATGTTTGGGTTTTTATCTTTAAAACTTCATCTGAAACATTCAAGATGAAACAAGGAAAATTAAAAAAGAAACATTGGAGCAAAAAAAAAAAACAGCTCCTATTTCTGCAGATGTTTGAATCGTATTTTCAGCTGCAGCTTCCTGCATTTAAAGTGTTTTATTAAACCATTTGTGTGTGTGTGTGTGTGTGTGTGTGTGTGTGTGTGTGTGTGTGTGTGTGTGTGTGTGTG